ATATAATACCTATATATACATATATATAAGTACATATTTTATATATATATATATAATATGTACTTATTTGCGTTCACTGGGTTTACTGCTGACTTTTGTTTCTGGTATTTATTTTAAAAGAGAAAGAAGATTTCATATTTGTAGAATAATACCACAACTATAACGTTAATACGCGAGACAAATGTTTTGGGAGAAATTTGGAATTACATTTACAGCTTCTTTCCGAAACAAATAGGTATGAATGAAAGAATTTATAGAACGAACTTCTTCTCTGGGAATCATCAATAATTTCGCGTAATTTGATTGATTAAAAGAATATTTGCACACTAGTGTTACAAATGAATGAAAAGTGTTATGTTCATCCACTGTGCAAATCGTGATTAACGTAATGTAATGTAATCCATCATCTATTATATGTTAATAGATTTTTCGTTAAGATCGTTAATGTAACATAATTTCAATTTGGTATTTGCTCTGGAAAAACCCGATTGTCCGTTTCACATTATAAATCAAAGTTACGACGTTATTTCTAATAAGGAAAAGGTACCGTGTGAAAAGTAGCACTTCCGAGTGTAACACCGACTTCGATTTGAATTTTTTCGTCAATTTCGTTGAGGAAGTAAAGTCTGCAGTAAACATCAGGAACAGTTTGCACGGAACCGTAGAACCTAAAAACAATTATCCCGATTTACCGGCAGACACAATAATACGAAGCGGAACGTTTCGAGCAACACGTACAGTTCGTATAAAGTTGCGTCTGAAAATTCGAAGGATGCCGAGTTCCAGTACAGCGTGAACTACAGTAATTTACAAGAAACGAATTATCTGCAACGAAGCATCTCCGCGGACAATGTTGTAATACATTCCCGCGGTTTCAAACCCTCTGATAGGCACGATCCTGTGAAGAGGAATTTCCTTGAGAATCTTACAAGACAAATACTGCATTTCGATATGGTGAGTAGTTACCTTTTTATTACAACAAGTATAAATATCAATAAGTTCAGAAGCACTATTCGATCGTTTAAATGCGATTTTTTCACGTAATTCCGTCGAGCACAATGATAACAGTAACGTGTATAGTACAGAGCGATTGTTGTGTTTTCTTTTCTCTCTCTCTCTCTCTC